AGCTCATTTTTGTTGTTGTTGTTCTGGGCTGGAGGTGAGGCAGAACATCATGGCAGAAGGGCATGAGAAAAACTACTCAGCTTGTGGCATCCAGGAATCAGTGAGAGCAAGCAAGGTGCCAGGAACAAAACATAAGCCCCAAAGGTACACCCCACCCGCCTATAATTACCACCCAATATTATCAATCCATCAAATGAATAAATCCACTGATTAGGTTACAGCTATAATCTAGTCATTTCACCTCTGAAAATTCCTACATTGTCTATCACATGAGCTCATTGGGGAACACCTCATATACAAAGCACAACAGGAGGAGATAATGATAAACCGCCATCTTGGTATTGATAATGTTTCTTTGCAAACTGATGGTGGAGGGAAGAGAGACCCTGCCTGGCACAAAGGAAACTCAGAATGTCTGTACAATTGATTCACCCTTGAAGAAAGGTTGCCCTTTAGGCCACATGGGAGTTTCCTAACCTTTCGTATCTTTTTCATCTTGTTACAAGGCATACCCTGGGAACTTCTTAAAGTTGTCGTAAGTTTGATCAAACTGTTATCCTACTTTCATAGAAGCTATTGGCTTATTTTTCCCACTCATTTTGAGGATCAACCACTCATTCAGATTTTACCTGAGAATATACAGTGATATACCCTCATGGAAACAAAGAAATATAATGGAATCAAGCCTTGTTAAATTGCTATTTCTAAATCAATCTCTCTTGGACCCATGGAACACATGGGTCAACTCCTGTCTGGCTCCCCAACATCACCAACATATCGGACACTTGGAGGCAGCCGTGGCAAATGCCATGAAACCCAGAAAGCCCCAGTATGGCTGGAAAGATCCCTAGGAACACACATTGGGGGTTGAATACTTCAGGGTTTCCTTCCTGCTCCTTGGATGACCCTCACCGGGTCTCACGGGATAGCCTTCTCTAAATGTCTCCACAGCAGTGGGGTTGAGCGGGGCTTATCACCTGGACAGAATTTTAATTTCATTTTTGTTGGAGAAGCATTTCTGTCTTATCTCTAGAGTTGTATATGAAACAGCCTTTTTTTCCATGAGCTGTTTCCTGACTCTGACCTCAGATTAAGGACAAAAGAGAGACTAAGCTGCCTTAAAAAACCTTTCCCTTTCTGCATCAGAGTGTGTGTATGTGTTGGTGGTGGCAGGCAGGGGGAGTTCTCTGGGGAAGACAGAGAAATGTAAGTTTGAATCAATGCACAGATGAGTCAGAAACTAAAGAGTTCTTCTCATATCTTCACACGACAACTTGCAAAGTTGTATATTTCCCCCTGATTTTCTTATCATATGTAGTTCATTAAATGCCAAAATCTTTCTTTCCCAAGGATGCTGTTTTAACAAACTAATTTTAGTTAAGTACTTACTCCTATTTGTTATATGCCAAAAATGTATATGTATTATTTCATTTAATTCTCCAAATGGCTATATGAACTGGCCCCAATTATTATTGCTATCTCCTCAGATAAGGAAAAGATGGCACAGGGAGGTTGAATGACTTGCTCGAGAGGAACAAGGGGATGGAAGAGTTGAGACACATAGCCAAGACTTCCCGACTTTAAACCTGCACTCTTAGATGTTGCTCATAAACATTGTGGTAGCACCCTAAGGCACAGGATGCTCTGCAGCAGAATGTTGTGCTTTGAGATAATTTCTTGACAAAACAGGAATATTAAAACATTGTTTAAAAAATTGTTGCTGAAAATCCTTCTGTTGTGTACTTTTTTTTTCCACCAGTAGGTAGAATAGAAACTAAACAAGAGGCAATTGGGAATCTCCCACTACTTTGAGACTTTTAAATCTGAATCTCAAATTTAACTGTGAAATATTTTAAGGATAGAATAAACAAAAGAATTTGGGGGAATATTTTCCAACAATATGGCATATTGAAGACAATTTTCAAAAACATATACATGTTACTTTTGTGTCTAAGGGAGAAGAGGAAAATAAGAGAGCAGAAGAGAGAAATTTACCCTTTCATTCTTTCCTCACACTAATCAAGTCAAGGATTCTATAAGGGGAAGGAACTAATATTTCCTGAGCACTGACTAGGTGCCTGCCACTGTACCTGTGACTTTCTAGAACATTCTCTTCAAACTTTCTCTATTATCCTTCATGATAATTATTACCTTCAACCTTCAAGTTGAAGTTCAGAGAAGTAGTGTGCCCCAAATCACAAATCTAGAGAGTGACAAAGCCAACCTGTCTGATTGCAATACAGTAGAATATTGAATAAATAGGTCCAGAGCAATCAGTCTCCCATAACTAGCATAGACCTTGTGGTCTCCTGTTTCCTCTGGGTTGAGAGGCATCTGTCTGTTTCCTTATGGAGATTAAATTTCCTTCTATCTGAATTTTAAAATAATCCATAATTTTATATGTTGTCTTGAAGTATGCTAAGAAACCAAAATAACAAGACTTAGCAAAGGTATGGGAAAACAGAAACCCTCATATACTGCAGTGGAAATACTCAAATTAATTATGCTGATGCCCACACAATTTTATAAATATAGAAATCATGAAAGTATACCGCTTAAATGGGTTAATTGTATAGTAGGTAAATTATATCTCAATAAAGCTTTTATATATGTATATAAAAACTGTACTATGAAAAAATTAAAATTATATATTTGGTAAATTCTTGTCAATGAATGTGCCACAGTAATGTATAACTACTTTGAAATGATCCTAGTAAATTCAGATGTCTTTTAGGTATCTATAGTCAAAAATTGTGCTCATTTGCACAATATTACCTATAGTGTACCCAGACTTACTATCCCTGGAATTGAATGCTGATGCTACAACATCCCACACGGCCTCTCTATGCAGTGTACCCTTGTGTAGCCAACAGGATCAACAGTGGTGAAAAGAATCATCTGTGACTGGCTGATCATGGAGATGCTGCTGGTGTTAACTGACTCCTCAACACTCTCACTGAACCAAACCCAGACTGCAGAGAAGCTCCAGTGTGACTCAGGGCCACCAGCCAATGAGGATGTCACTAGGGTCCTGAAATCTGGAGTGAAGAACAACAAAAAGGTCCTGATAACACTTATCTATTTACAGTCATATTTCCAATCAGATGAAGGAGTATGGAAAGGAAAAAAAATCAATAAATTCCAGAGTAAAAATGGAAACCAATCTCCATGGGGGCGGAGACAAAGGGGAGTGGAATAAACTGATGTCAGAACTCGAGGTCGGGTTGTGAAATTAGCCTGATGTGAATGGTTACAGAACATCCTGGGGGAAAAGTATCTAAATACTGATTGTACTGAGGAAGATAAAAGGTAGAGTGATATTGGATCAAACATAAAAACAAATCAGCTCAACACACAAGCTTCTCATGAGCAGATAAAGTCCAGAACCTGGCACTGAGTAGACCCATCCCTCCAAGGGACAGTTTCCAAGTTTTCCTCATCAGTGAACAAAACCTCCCGAGGATACTTCAGAAAGCACATATTTTATGTCTCTTGAATCCTGCAGTAACAAAAACAAAGTGAGCCTTGAATTTGGGGGAAGTTTGTCCAGAAAACCCTGTATAAAATGGAAATGGGCACGTGGTACACAACTGGAAAATCCACATCTAAATACAGGCTCAGAGATGCCAGCTAGGCTCCCAACTTTCCAAAGATTGATTCACTGATGTTTTTTCAGAGCAAATGCATTCCAGTCCTTGAATAAAACACACCACAAATATAAAAATGTATTAGGGACTTTTTATACAAAGGATAGCTAAGAGCTTTTGTGTATTTGATTACATTCTATTTCTAAAATAATTCTGTGAGGTAAGCATTCTACAGATGAGGAAGAAACAATGGCCCCAAGAAATTAAGCAACTTTCTGAAAGTCACAACAAGTAGGTGGCAGGAGGTGATGCTGAGGCTCCTAGTTCCTTATCCATGATTTTCTCTACTACCCTTATCTTTCCAAAGTGAGATGACAATCAGTTTGTTGGGCCATCAGAGGGCTTCTATAATGAAAGACTGATATTTTCATGGAGCTAAAAGACCACTATAAAACTAAGTAGACCCGAGAGAGTACCAAGAGAATAGCAAGAAGGTATGTGGATTCATTGCAAGTTGGGGGATCATATGACAAGGAGGATATCAGAAATTCTAGTCAAATTAAAATACAAGTAACTACATTATATCTAGTCCCCAAAGGCCTGCAGTTTCTGCCTGATTTTATTGTCTATACTTATGAAGAATATATAAAAAGTTAAGATTTTTAGGAATTTGGGGACTACACTTCTCTTAACATTACTCAGGGTGTATAAATTACAAAAATTAATGCCTATAATGTGCTCTCAGAGGGGCCAATATTTGCCATAGCCAACAAATAAACAAAACTGAACAGATAAATAATTATAATAACTATCAATGTTTTTTACACATTTCGTAAAGAGGAGTCCACAATAGAAGTTGTCGTTGATTTCGGTAGTTATCTACTAGAATCATTCACAACCACAAACCTTCCTTTGGGGGGGGGGGTTCTGGGCAAATTTTCCAACTGTTTCTTTCCTAGGAGGGGTGCCAAATCCATCTGACTAAGCTTCTGTGAGTCCCCAATGATGTAAGGCAATAGAAGGTGAAACATCCCTGCACTCCGGGGTCCCAAGGACAGCGTTCTTGAGCTCTGAGTAACTTCTCTACAGCTAATACCAGTAATGGCCACAGCAGATGAAGACCTTGAGGCTGCAAACATCAGAGAAGGAAATGCTGGGTCTGTGCCTATCTGAGGCACTGGCCCATCAGTTAACAAGTGGACAGAATACTGGACAGAGAGGGTACATGTTCTGATTCCCCTCTGCCACTAACTAGTGAGGTGACCTTCACCAAGGCTGCCTCTGTCCTGGTTGCAGAGAACTAATACATACAATAAAGAGCTTGGAACAGATCAGCCCCAAACACCCCTTCAGTTCTAGGACATCCTGGCCACCATCTCTGCCAGGTTGTTTTACTGATTCTCTAGCAAGTACCTGTTTCTTGGTCACGGTGCCATCCACAGGGTCCACGTATTCAAAGCTGTCTGTCTTCGCCACACTGTAGATGTGGCTCCCCACGGCAAACTGCTGGCCAATGAAGGACTTGTCTGTGACCAGGGCCTCCAGGTCCCTCATAATATAATATGTCGCCTTGGGCTCCAGCCCTTCATAGTCAAACCTAGTGAGGGAAGGCAGGGCACAGGATGAACAAACACCCCATCAGAGAACCGACCACCGGGTGGACCCCTCAAGCTCGTCTAATCCTGGGTTCTGATTTCAGGAAAGGAAAGCACAGAAGAACACCCTCAATCGGTCTCCCATTTGCCTACTGACCTTTTCAATCCAGTCCCCACAAAGTGGCCAGAATGGCCTTACAATAGTCAAATCATGTCACCCCTTTTCCTTAACTCACTCCTGACACACTTACCATCTTGAGAACAAAACTCAAAACCACAGCCCGAGTGGATCTGCTGTGGGATCCACACTTGCCCTACTTGACTTGTTCCACTTTTCACCCTTGTTACTCGCTACAGCCACCATGATCACCTCTCCAGTCTGCAAGGCTCCTTAGCCCTTTCCTTCCTCTGGGCCTTTGCCCTTCCTGTTAGCTCTCTCCATCCCATGTGCTCTTAGACTCCTTCATACCTGGTGCATTCAATAAGCTGTTTCGTCCTCTTCCTTCAGTTTTTCTCTATCTGCTTTTTGAGATACTGGGGCTTGAACCCAAGGGCACTTTACCACTGAACTACATCCCATCTTGCTAAGTTTCCCAGCCTGGCTTTGAACTTACAATCTCTCATCTCAGCCTCCAGAGTTGCTGGGATTACAGGAGTGTGCCATCATATCCTGCTTTTCCTTCAATCTTTAAAACTATTGTCACTTCCAGAAAATGGCCTCTCTGACCATCCCTCCCAAAGAGCTTCTCTCTCCCCTTCTTTCATCATGTCTTACATTTTCTTTTGAGAGTTACACAGTCTGTATTTATCTGGTTGGTTTATTTATCTTTATCCACCACAGTGAACTCTAGGAGGGCCCAGACCTTTGTTTTCCTGTTCTCTTTACTTCTGGAATATAGAAGAAGCTATGCTAGCACGCTGGAAGGGAAATGGGAAAAAGGAAAGGAAGGAAGGAAAGAAGCAGGAATCAACGGAGACAGGGGCAAAGTGAATCTCAGAAACATGGAATAAACGTTCCCCTCAGTTCCCTCAATGTCCCCCCTTTTTTTAAAGAGAGAGAGAGAGAGAGAGAGAGAGAGAGAATTTTTTAATATTTATTTTTTAGTTTTCGGTGGTCACAAGATCTTTGTTTTATTTTTATGTGGTGCTGAGGATCGAACCCAGTGCCACGCGCATGCCAGGTGAGCGCGTTACCATTTGAGCCACATCCCCAGCCCCCTCAGTCCCCCTTCTACTGGCCACTGTCAACAGCAACACATTTCAAGGAACAAAACCTTTAAATAGAGAATTCCTTCTGGAGTCAGCTCAAACAAGGAAAATTGAGCTATTTTCTCAGATACAACTTCAGGATTCGTATTAGTTAAACTGAAATTGTTTTATTATTTCCACCCTGCCAAGAAAATTGTCTGGCTTAGAAATCATTGTGTTTCACAAACACCTTTCAACTTATCATTTGCTGGGGTTGAAAGAAATGTTTATCTTTCACTCTACCTATTCCCTCCGCCTTTTTTTTTTTTTTATCTCTGTGATCTTTTTGGATAGAAACCTAAAACATAATTCAACATCCTATGAGAAATTAAATCCCCCTTGCATATTATTCTCTAATATGGTATTTGTTATGAAAAAAGTGATTATCATGTAAGCACTTGGCCACAAACATGAACTATATTATAAATACACTTATCATTAACACCATTTCTTCAAAACACTGCAGAAACCTACATAATCATTCCACAAATGATGAGGAACACATCTCTGACTCGAAGCAATCTCATTAAGCTAGAGGTTGGCAAACATAATGTATTTTATCTAATTGAACTTTTTAGAAGAGCTTCATACAATAGTAAAATTTCATGTGCTGATTAACCCCCCAAAATCCCACAAGAATGAAGGGGCTAAGGCACTTGTTAGGAATACTGACAAGTAAAACAATTCCCTCCTGTCTTGAGAATCCTTACTTGAGGTTGCAATGAATAATTTGAGATGATGCAGGCTGTCATAGACCTTCTTCTTGACTAAATAGGAACCCAGAATATTGTGGTGTTGTCTACATTTCTCAGAACATTGCCATCTCTTTGACTTTAATAAATATTACCACAGTCTTCTTTATTCTCTGATATTTATCTAAGTAAATGGCTTCTTGAGAGAAGAAACAATCACCTTATAAGGCTAAAGTCTAAAGCTCTCTTTCTGTCCCTTAAGCTCTGGAAATACAACTAAACTCCAAAGTAGTTAACTATTCAAGAGTAAAACAAAATGAGTCACAATCTACGTTTTTAATAGACAGAATCTCTAAGACTACCCCCAAATTTCCTCCCTCTACCCTGTGTTCTCCACAGTTAACATTCTTTCTTACCACTCCTGCCCCTAAACCATGGCTTGGTACTAGGTTCACACACCCAGCAAGTAACCATGCTCCCAGAATACTCTTACCCTCACTTCAACAGCAAGAAGGAGATAGAGATCACCTCCTCTACCTACTATCTTTTCACCTCCCTCCTTCCCAGGTAAGATTTCCATTTTTTCTGTCTCTTCTTATTGAGAGCAAACCTCTAGCAAAATCTCTAACTCCTGAACCACATGGCCCCTTCAAAGGGTGCCAGGTTGGACATCCTGGACATCACTTGAATCACTGATGAGGAGGTAAAGGCAAAAGTAGAAAGAAGAATATGAGAGCACCCAGCCTGTAACAGCTTCTGTTCCTGCCCTGCTCCTTGATAACTATGGGTGGACAACCAATAGGAAATGCCTCTATTTGAGGGCATTCCTCTCCCAGCCACCATGGTTACCAGGGGATTGTTCATGCTCTACAGCTCACATATCCTCTTAGATGGCTGCCCACCTTATAGGCACTGATAAAAAGAGTACAGAAGGATGCCATGAAGGGAAGTGAAATGTGCACCTTCCAGGTTGGTAGTCCTTGACACCGCCCCAACCACTTATCAGCATGATCTAGTTCCAGCCTCAGTGTCCCTCAGATCTTCCTGAGAGATGCTGCCTTCTTAAAATTCTAGTCAACTGGTTTCAGAAAACTTCTCTGAGTAGTTCCCCAGGGGGCATGCAGGGACCCTCCCTTCCTCTCACCTGCAATAGTAGTGGCGGCCATATTTGGCCCAGTGATCCCGAACAATTTCCTCTACACTCTGTTTCCGGGCAGCGATGATGGAGAGCCAGACCAAGACAGCCCAGAGGCCATCTTTCTCTCGGAGGTGATCAGAGCCTAAGGGAAAATCAAGGATTGTGTTGTGAATTCATTCCCTGGGAGAAAGCAAGAACAAAAGGAGCTAACAGACAAGTTAGAAAATGTTATACGGAAAGGTTTGAATATATTACCTACTGAGTAAAATCTATGTCCATAATATATCTGCTTTTCTAAATAACTTCTGACTGAAATTCAAACAACATAACAGCAAAAAACAAAACAAAACAAAACAAACGAACAAACAAAAAACCCCATAAAATCCTGGAAAATTCTGAAGGAATCAAAGAGCCAAACTGACATATTACATTAGACAACAATATCCTTAATTCATCCATTTATTCAATAAGTATTCAGAGATCCCTAAAATATACATTGTTTTACATCCTGAGGATATGGCAGTGAACAAGATAGTTCTTTACTTGTAAAGTCTGAATTCAAATAGAAACAGACAAAAGAAATCATATAAAAGAACAGATAGAACAAGTTGCATCAAATTAGGACAAGTTCTTTGAAGAAATTAAAGTAGATGCTGATATCACAGAGCATAAAAGGAACAAAGGCCACTTTATCTAAGTTGAATGTTGGCCCCCAAAAGACACATCCTCATGAAGCCTCTGGATATGACAATATCTTGGCAAATGGTCTTTGTGGGTATAATTATGTTGGGGATCTTAATGTGAGATCATCTTGAAATATTCTGATTGACCCTAAACTCAATGACAAATGATTTTATGAAAAAGAAGAGGAGACACAAAAGAGGAGTAATGGAGAGGCACAAGCCATACAAAGACAGAGACAGAGAGAGACAGAGGTTGGAGTTAGGAATTTGGCTGAAGAGGCAAGGAAGGACCTTTCCTTAGAGCTGTCAGAGGAAGCACAGCCCTGCCAACACCTTGGGTTTGGATTTCTGGCCTCCTGAACTATGACACAATACATTTCTGTGTTTCAAGTCAGCCAGTTTGAGGATTTTTTATGGAAGCCCTAGGAGACTGATAGAGCTCGAAAGGGTCAATCTCACTGAGGTGATGACATCTGAGCTGACACCTGAGAAGGAGTCAGTCATGCCGAGGTCTAGGGACAAAGGGTTCCAAGCTGAGGGAGAGCAAATGCAAAGTCCCTGAGGCAGGAATGAACTGAATGCCAAATCCTACAGCTATTTATGTAGAAAAAAGAGGCAATTCTTATCATGTCATTCTCACAAATAGAGAGTGCAGTCTAAATGAGTAGCTTCCTGTGCAACAAGAACCCAGAAGAATGTGCTGCAGGCCCACTTAAGCATCTGTCTCTGGGCCAGCTGTATGCTTTCTGTGTGAAGAGGATAAAGCCCTACATTCAAAAGAATGTGGAAAGTGAGGAATTCATGAGGAAGGCTTTGGAATTAGGATTTTGACCAATCTCTGCTTTTTCCCAGGTGTGAAACATGATTGCAGTTAGTAACCTCTCTGAGTCTCAGCTTCTCATCTGTAGAATGGAGACACCATGACCAATCTTGTGATCTTGTTGTATTAATTAAATCAAGTTAAAGAGCTGGACTCAGTGGTAGAGTGTTTGCCGAGCATATATGAGGCCCAGGGTTCAACCCCCAGCACTGAAAAAATGAAAAAAAAAAAAAAAGAGCAGGCTCTATAGTCAGATTGTCCATTTTCAAATTCTGGCTCAGCCACTTACTTTGTTTACTACACTCATCTGAAATATGGGGACAGCAATTGTCCCTACCTCATGAGGTTACTTCCAGGATTAAGAGGCTATAGATGCCTAGGTATTTAGAGCAGTGACAAGGACAACTGCAGGCAGTTGTTACTGCTGACTTTGTTGGTAATTCACAGAAAGCATCTATATAGTGCTGCTTCCCTGTACATGTTTTGGGACAAACCATTCTGTTATTTATGTGTGTGTGTGTGTGTGTGTATCTGATTAGCAATAACAATGTCTTAAGAAACAAGATTGGAACCAGAGGTGGACAATTTCTTCTTGGAACAGGGTAATGAGAATGGACTACAGAAATCTTGGCTTCAGGACAATGAAACATACACAGAAAATCAACAAAGGAGACCCATGCCACAGAGCTGTTAAAACTTCAAGATGGGATGAAACAGTATCTTAGTTAAGTTACATATCTTTGGCAACCTCTCACTGAAGCTATGGACCATTTGCCATTCTTGTTATGTTTCGTGTTAAAAATCCAACATTTATTTAAGGAGGAAAACATACAACCCTGAAGGAGAAACAAAGGTACTTATATGGAAAGGAAAAAAGGATCACGTCTTTAGTTCTCGATATGCACTGATCAATGTTCTGCTGATGACACTGTTAGTTGTCTGGTTGTGGCTGCCTCTACGTCAGGGGGACCCTGGGCATTAATCATCACACCATAAAGTGACTCTGGCCTCAGCCAGTGAATTCTTCACACTACTACAAAAATGGAAGATGTTTGGAAGACTCAGGCTTAGCTCTATGGCCCACTGCCAAAAAAACAAGTCTAGGAAACCCTGCCCAGTGGGATCGTTTCAAAACCTCTTGTCCTTTTATAGCTGAAAAAAATCACTTTTGCTTACTGATTGGAGAAAAATACCCTTTTGTTTTAAAACACAAGCTTTGCATACCTTGGACCTCCAGCTGGGTCACATTACCTAGATATAGAACCATTAGTTGCTATTAAGTTTGTGAGATAAGATGCCATAATTCCGTAGTAGAGAGACATAGAGTTCTTTCAGATGGATTTGAAAAATACCTCAATCATTTTTGGCCAACCACATAGTAAACTATGAGTTGGCGTGGATACCCTCGCCGAAAAGTACAACATTTGCCCAGATTCATAAGGGGCCAATGATCAAGTAAAATTAACTGTGCTCTTCAGAGTTCTTTGAGCTAGCCATAAAGACATTAATGGTGCAGCAATTACACAGATGTTTCCACTGGATGACCACAGTGTGCCTTGGAGGGGCTTTTGAGGATACAAGTCTCCTTTTACTATTTCTTGAACCCTATGTTTTCAGTGCCAGGTAAGTAAGAAATGCAGAAAACACAGAGGTATTGAATGGATTTCTAAAACGCCACTATAAACAGTCAAAATGGAGGAGAGAAATATTCACACTACATATATGTATATATGACAGGACTAATAGTGTTTGTGGCAAAAAAAATGTTTTTAAAAGTTAATAAGAAAAAGAGGAACCCCATGAGACAATGTGTGTGGGGGCACAAACAAGCAATTTTTAAGAGAAAAATATTAACAGTCAATATATGTTTGAACATATGTTCAGTCTTAACTGTGGCCAAAGTCCATAAAATGGGATACCATTTGGGGCCTATCAAATCAGCAAAGATGGGGTGGGGGAGGAGAACAGCTAGTATTGACAAAGCACCAGTGTACGTGAGCACAGTTTGTAGAATAATTTGGCAATGATGATCAGTAGTCTCATAAATTCCTTAGCTTTGGACCCAGCTATATTATTTTCTTAACTTTTAGTCATGAGGACATTCACTGAAATAGTTGAAAGGGCAAACCTGGAAAAATAAATGTTAATTGTTCAACAATAGGATAATTGTGAAAAATCCTCACAAAAGCTTATTGTGTGGGTGAAAGTATTGAGTAAGAATCTTTAGTAACAGAACAAGGTTCATCTAACTTTAATAAATGGAAAAGAAACCATTTATCAAAAATAATATCCAGCCATTTTTGGCAGAAAGATGTATGTGTATAACAACTGACAACCAACCATCAATAAAGGTTACTTATCTCTGAAGTGGTAGAATTTCAGGTGCTTGTCTTCTCTTTTCTTTGCAGTATTTTCAAGACAAACATGGACCCATTATTTTTGTAAGGAATAAATACAATTTTAAACTTATCAATGATGCATATAAATTCATATTTGAAAACATGATTTTTTCCAGAGTGTTATATAGTTGGACTTACACAGTACGTAGCCTTTTAAGACTGGCTTCTTTCACATAGTAATATGCATTTCGGTTTCCTACCTGACTTTTCATAGATTGAGAGCTTTTTTTGATGCCAAGTAATTTGTGAAGCATGCTTCCTCTGCCTTCTTTAATGCTGGGAAAGCCAGAGCTTGCCCCTCATTCAGGACATTGCAAGGAGAACTGACCCCTACTCCCAAAGTGCCACTTACCCAGCCTTCCTCCATCCAGGCCAGCTGGCCCCAACCCCCCTCCACCTTACTCTGAGCATCCCTGAGCAGCCAGCATCCCCACCTGGATATCAGAAGGAAGCACTCCTCTCCTTCACACCTGACTCCAGCAAAAATCAGCACAAAAAGAGGGAGTGCATTGTTTTTTTCTCCTTAGAAATAGCACTGTCCCTTCTCCACTCAAATTAGCCCTTGAGTTTCCTCAAGTTTTGAAACCATACTCCTTGAGGTAGGCAGTATACCAACAAGTATACTGCCCTCACAGAAGAGGGCAATAAATAAATGATAAAAAAAATTGAAAAGGGTAATAAAAGATAAAATTAAAAAGAACACTCCATCATTTCAAAGGAATATGCTTCCAGTGGAAATCCCAGTGTGAAAAAATTAATAAAACCTCATAGGCATTTCCATCATATCAAATCATCACAGCTGAAACTCAGAGAGGGGAACTCCAAATTTGTCAATTAGGAAAATACAAGTCATTTTGCACCCATAGGTAACTAGATGGCACATTAGAATCACCAAAAGAACTTTAAAAAACACCAATGTTCAATGCTCCACCCCCCCCACCTTAATACAAGGACTTGAACACAGGGCCTCACACATACTAGGCAAGCATTTTGCCTCTAAGCTATAGCCCTATCCAGTGTTGAACTTGTAATCCTTCTGTTTCAGCCTCCCAACTAGCTGGTATTACAGAAGTGCAGCATCACTCAATGGTATTCTTTTTGTAAAAAACTCCTTGAGTGGTTCTCGTGGGCAGCTAGGGCTAAAAGCCACTGCTTAAGAAAGGCACTGTCGTGTTAGGGCTAGTGAGTTAGGCTTCTTACCCCTTTTGCACTAATTTGGCATTATTTACATGGGTGGTCT